GGTTTTCTAAAACGGAGTTTTAGGATATCTCCAAAGAGGACATACAGATGGCCAATAGACATATGAAAAGATACTCAAGGTCGCTAATCATCAGAGAAATGCAAATTAAAACCACAATGAGATATCATCTCACACCTGTTAGAATGGCTATCATCAAAAAATCAAAAAAAAACAGCAAGTGTTGGCGAGGATGTAGAAAAAAGGGAACCCTCATACATTGTTGGTGGGATTGCAAATTGGTAAAGCCGCTATGGAAAACAGTATGGAGGTTTCTCCAAAAGTTAAAAATGGATATATCTTTTGATCCAGCAATTGCACTTCTGGGTATTTATCCAAAAAAAACCAAAACAATAATTTGTAAAGATCTATGCACTCCTATGTTCATGGCAGCACAATTTACAATAGCCAAGATATGGAAGCGACCTAAATTCCCATCAACAGACGACTGGATAAAGAAATTATGTTCATATACATAATGGAATATTACTTTGCCATTAAAGAAATATGAAATCCTACCATTTCTAATGACATGGATGGACCCAGAGGTTATTATGCTGAGTAAAATAAGTCAGACAGAGAAAGATAAATACCATATGATTTCACTTATATGCAGTATCTAAGGAACAAAAAGAATAAACTAATCAAAAACAGACTCACAAACACAGTGGACAACTTGGAGAGGGGGACTGGGAGGCTGGGAAAAAGGGGTGAAGGGTTAAAGAAGTACAAATTAGTAGCTGATAGTTGGGCACGGGGATGGGGAGCATGGCAGAGGGAATGCAGTTAGCATTAATATGATGGCTAAGTGGAAGGCCAGGGGAGGGAGGGAGCAATTGGGGGGATCATTTTATGAACATTATAGATCTGAAACTAGTTTAAATAAATACATTTATAAAAAAAAGAAGGGCCAAATTACATGACACTTTACATAATGCTACCAAAATATTTTTTAAACATGTTATTTTAACCCCTCACTTACTGTGTAAAACCCATTAGTTCTCGAATCTGCTCAAAAATCAGAACCACTTGAATCATTTTTAAAAATTCAAATTTGCAGAACCCACTTTAGATTTATTGATTTTCCAACAGTAGGTACAGGATTCTTTATTTTTTAAAGAGCTGCTGAAGTGATTCTGATGTACAGACTGTTTTGAAAACCAGTGTTTTAAATAATATCACTTTAGATAGATGCCCTTCTCTTTTAGGATTCAAATAATTTCATATAAATTTAAAATAATTAGTTATTATGTAATTATAAGCATTGACATACAGAGAAAAAACTGAATGACTTATTCAGATATCCAATGGGTAAAAGTGAATCTTGGAGTAAAGTTTTCTGATTCCTAATCCAGTTCCTTATTCTAAAACCACTTTCATTTCTATTAAATGTAAGCACAAAATATAACTATTGTATATACAGGTAATTCAATACAAATGTACAAATGCATTTATGCAAGCAAGCCACATTACAAAAGAAACAGACTGGCATAAGTAGCAAAATCTCTAGAATCTGATATAATGAAAACTGACTGTGATCTCAGCATAAAGAGAAATTGTGTAACGAATTTGTGTAAATCAGTCTCTTCTGAAAAATGGGAAAAATGCTTCCTACAAGTTAGGCGAATAGAAAGAGAAATTCAATTCAAATGAAGTTATTCTGAGCTTCTAAGCTGAGAGAGAGTTCATATTCCATATAATGGACTTAATGTATTCAAAAAAAAAAAAAAAGCCTAGACACAATAGATAAAATAAGTGTATTTTCACTATATAATATAAAACAGATATTTACAGAACACTTTACCAGGATTTCCCTTACCTAAAGTATCCACTTCTGTAACTGACTTTGTTTCTAGATGGAGGTCAATATCCTTTGGAATGGTTAATGGCTTACTTTCAATGTGACCATTATATTTCCTATAAAAATGAGACAAATGCACAAAAAACAAGTTACCTACACCGTTATCCAGGTGCTTGTATTAAACTAATTACAAATGAGGTTTTGAATTTCACAGTGAAAAAGAAGCAGAATTTCTAATATTTCATAAAAAAGGAGGACAGATACTCAAAAGTAGTTTTTAAAAGGCGACTACAAAATGATGTAAAGTATTATGTGAAAGTACATACTAGCAGAAAAAGAGTTACCTACATTAGTGACAGAACAAAATCTTAATTGCTAGCTCAGCATTTTACCCCATTTCTCCCACTCTCCTGCAGTTAAAGACAACTTAACATCTTTTCTTATAGGTACAAAAATGAAAGCAAATGGAGACAAAATGTATCTCTCTTTGAAATTATACATGTACACAACACATACATAACAGACCTGTAGCTATAAACAAATCAGTTAAAAAATATATTAAAATTTATGTGTATGAGAAATTCAAAAACATGTAAGGCTAACTCAGAGTTGCTTTTGCTAAAAATCATGGATGGAGGAAAATAGAATTCTTCAGGTGCACATACATGCATCATTCCCAAATTTAATTTTTAAGATAAACATATATAGAAAGTAATAAACTAAGTTTCAATAACATTAATTATGATACCAAGAAACAACTCTGTATTTATTCTTGAATAAATATAAACTGGAAAAACCTCAGTAAAAATGTTAATTCGTGTCAACAAATCAAATAATTATTGCTACTAGAAACAGTGTCATTTAGTGCATCTTTTCATAAATGTCAAGCATTATCAACATATAAAAATTACTGTAAAAATAACAGAATTACTGACTACAGATATATAAGAATTCAAATGTATGTAAAATAAATACTACATTACATAGCTAAATTTTACAAATCTTGAACATGGTAGCTATGACTAGGCAGAGGTGGAATAGTTAAAAAGAAACATAGAAACTAAAAACTAACTTGGATTAAAATCTTGACTCTTAGCAGTTACCTGAACTTGCACAGTTCATTTAATATCTTTTATCAACAACTTCATTCATGAGTAAAATATAAATTAACAGCTAATACAGAAGGATGTTGCATGGATTAAATAAAACTGTGTTTTAAAGTGTTTTCGAAATTACAATATTAAACAGGAATATTTAATTAAAGGACATAACTATTGGAATTCAGAAAAAGAGGGTTTGGACTTAATATTTCAACGAGCTTCAAGGTTTATTTGTAACTACAAGTGAAAGAAAATGGTAGCGAGATCAGAAAAGACAATTTTTCAAATTTCTAATATCATGCCAAATAACCATTAATATTTAAAGAATTTTTAAAATTTGGTGACGATTTGTTGTCACTCACATTTCATATTAGAATAATAGTTTCAGGTCCTAAGAATTCCTCCCCAACTGAGGAAACTAAGGCTCATTCAGAGAGACTAATTAACAAGCACTTTCCTTGAGAATTCAATTTAAATAGAGATATAAAATTTTAAAGTTGGAGTGATCTTTCAAAATTACCATGTTGTCCTTCTATTTCACAGATGAAGCTGCTGTGGTTCATTCAGTGAGCTTTCAGACAGTTTTCTTTATAAACTTTAAACATTGAAATAAAATTCAGCAGCTGAATTGGACCCAAGAAGTTATAATGCCCATCCCTTTTATTTAAAACATGAGGAAACACAGGTAAAAGCAGGTGAATTTGTCTGATATAATACTGAATGGTAGCCAAACCTGAAAAGAATCCAAACCAACTGATATTTTTAAATGACTTTATAGAGTAAAGACATGGGTTATGGGTCTTGCCCCATCAGCCCCCCACCAAAATTTTAATATGATGGCTATTTGTTTTCATTATTTAAACACAAAGAATAAAACTGACCATTCTTAAGTAAAATAATTACTTTTGTGCATGAAGTTTTTTAAAGGGTGATTAAATATTATTTCAGATCACAGGTTTTGATCTCAAATTTATCAACTGTTTATAGCATAATTGGTAAATATTCCTTTAAAATACAAAATGTATTTAAATAAATTGCGTCAAATATTTAACACTTTACAAGCTCAACAATATAACTTACCTATCTTTTTTGCTTTTCCCTTTTTGCTGCTTTCCTGCAAGAATTCTTAATTCTTCTTCTGTAGGATGTTGATACCATCTTAAACTAAGAAAAAAGGAATCCTTTTAAATAAAGCAATTAAAACATCAGAATAATTCATTTATTCTACAAGTAGCTATTGAGTTTCTTATTTATGAAGACACTGCTGGAAAGTATCAGGTGAAAACCCTAATCTGAAACATATATTGCTTAAGCCTTAAAAGAATTCAGATTCAAATCCATCAAACACCAAGCACTTACGAGATGTCAGACCCTGAAATGCTGTCTGTAGGTAATTCTCACAACCAACAATGTTAATACATATTAAGAAGATATAGGCTTACTATTAAAAGGAAATGGGGTAAACCCTAAGACAAGCAGGCAGGAGCACATTAAAATTCTCTACCCATCCCTTCGTTTACACAAAAGGAACTGATATGTCTTAAAAAGAGAGCCTTTTGAATATCGTCAAAAATATTAGTCTTTGCTTCACTTTCCTTTCTTTCTCTCCTTTAATTTAGTTGAAGAATTCTCAAACTTTATGTGTGTAAGAATTAGAGTAAATTGTTCTATTTAACAAATCCTTTACTCTTAGCTACATCTAACCCTTGTCAGGGTTCCAACAACTGAGTATATTCATCTCTGCCACTCAGTCAAAACATCCAAACAAATCAATTATTTCCTTTCAAGCATCCATATGCTCAGTTTTACTTTCCTGTCTCACCTGAATTTCCTATCTAGCAGCCACCTAAATTTGAGATTGAAGTTTTATCTTCAATGTGCCCTCTCCATGTTTCCATTAATTCTGTTAATTCTTAAAATTCTAAACTTGCCTGCTCCCCTGGAAGGACCTTAGCACAGACCTTCATTCAGTGTATCTTCCCCTCTAGCTGTATGACAAGATTCTAACTGGTCTCCTTGCTTTCCCCCTAGACACTCTCCTACATTTAGTTATTTTTCCATAATGCAAATATTATCAAGATACATACCTGTTTAAAACCTTTCCAAAATTCCTCACAGGGTAAAGCAGTGAGTGAGGCAACTAGGCAAGTTAGGCAAGGACTTTGACCAAGGTCTTGTTGTCACAAAAGAGAAACATAAACCTAGTATTGCCAGGCCTTCCAATTTATCAATTAAGAAAAATCCAGATTTTTAAAGTGAAATATCCCAATTAAAAAAAAAATGTTAGCAACTGATTTGCTGTATTTAAAAACACCAAAGAACTGGCAATTTGAGTAATGACTGGAGATTTGATGTTAAGAAATTACTGTTCAAACTTTTTTGCTGTAATAATGAGATTATAGTAATTTTTTTTAAAGCTCAAGTATTTTAAAGATATACTTGAAATATCTAAGAATATTTGGGGGGGAGAGATGCAAAGGAACATAGATTAAGCAAATCAATCACTAGCTATTATGATAAGTATGTAAGAGCTCATTGTATTCACTACATATTCATTATTATTATTCTGTCTACTTTGTATATGTTTGAAAATTTCCATTAAAGTTAAAATACATATTAAAAAGCCCAAATGTGTATAGGGTTTGTGACCACCTGTTTCACGATCTGACTACTATCTACTTCACCAAACTCACCTTCAACAATTCCCCTTTGGACATGACATTCTACTAGACTAAGTGGCATTTTATTTTGTTTCATCCCTTAGCGTTTGGTATACATTCTTCTCTTCGCTTGTTAACACCTATGCCCCCATCCGGCAAACTCAACATTTACCATTTACTGTTCATAAGGCAGTCTCCCTGTGACATAATAAAGAATATATCTGGTCACTGTCCCCAGCTCTTGGAACACTGCCTTAAAAGCCCTTGGAACACTGCCTTAAAAGCCCTTGGAATGTCCTAAGCCATAGGAGGTGTCTTTGTTATGCTAATGAGAGAATTTGTGCCTCAGGACAGCTTTAAGATGAAAGCTAGTCACCAGAAATATCAACCATGTGATCAAAGTTGGAACTTTCAGCCACCTGACCTCCAGGAAGGAGAGGTGTCTGGGGATTAGGTTTAATCATTTAGCCAATGATACCCACGTGACCAATCATGCCTACCTAATAAAATTCCATAAATTCTCTGGACTCCAAAGCTCAGAGGAACTTACTGGTGGGTCAACACACTTATGTGCCTGGAGAGTGACATGCCCTAACTCCACAAAGAAAATGAAAACTCTGCTCCTTTCCAAGCCTCATCCTATGTGCGATCTTTATCATAAAGCTGTAATTATTAAGTATTGCACTTTACTGAGCTCTAGTCATTTTAGCGGACTACTGAATCCGAGGGGGTTGTGAAAACACCCTAATTTGTAGCCAGTAGCCAGTTGTCAGAAATATGGGTGACCTAGGGATTCCAAGAACTGCAGCTGGCCTCTGAAGCCTGGGCAGTCTTACGGGGGACTTTGTTTTTAACCTGTGAGGTGCTAACTCCAGATAGTGTCAAATTTTAATTACAATCGGTATTAGACGAGTTAAAATGGAATATTCCCCTAACTGAAAGTAAAGATTTTATGACTCACTTGATTTTGTATTTTTTACCTAGTACAGGTCCTGGTATATACTAAGTACTGAAAACGGATCACTGGACCAAAATGAATTCAGTTCTCCTCTTAGTTTACGGGTTTTACAATCAAATGTATATCCTAACCAAAAAGTCCCTCAACTGTAATTAACATGGGTGAGGAGGCACCTCCTGAAATTTCTACTGCAGTCCAGAATCTTAACTGACAGACAATTCTCATTATTCAGGTAGTTACGTTCTATAAAGTCGCAGCAAACACTAAGCCATTCATTCCTCCTAGAGGAATACAAGATTAGGTTCCTGTGAGCCTCTGGTCACATTTTCGTTACCGATCAATATATAACCTTGTTTTATGTGTGTTTCTGTTTAAAAATGCCTTATTTAATATATATTGTTGATTATTAAATTGAAGGTGAAAAGCACTGTAATATATGCCTGAACAAAGCTTATCTAATAATTGTAATCAGAAGTATTATATTTTCCTGGGTTCTGTGAATATTTGTAGCCTTCTTGCATTTAGGAACACCAGACAGCACTTCAGCACTATGCTTGGGGGCCATTTTAAATAGTGAAGTCACCAACTAAAAACAAAACTATGAAAAACGTGGCACTAAACAGACAATACAAAGGACACCTGTTTACAATATTAGAGGTGAAACAATAAAGTCTCAGCTGGGAAAATGGGTATAGGGCCATTCAAATTTTTCACCACTCTGCATACATCTATGAACCACCTCTACGAACAACCTCAAAAGCGCAAGTATGGATTTTGTGGTACTTTAATAAATTTTATAAGTAAACATTAGCAAGAGGGCAAATAACAAATACAGAATCCACAAATGATGGGTATTGAGTACCTAACATTTAGAAGAACACTTAAGCCATAACTTATTTTATAAAGACTAAAATTAGTTTAGCTTTGAGAAATACTAAGTAATCAGTGAAAAGAACTCTCAGCATAAGAAACATACATGGCTTTACCTTTAAAGCCCTATAATAATAAAATATTTAAGACCCTTACATTTTCTAGGAGGCATTTTCTTTTCAAATGTACTTGCACTTGTTAATCTTATTTAGTGGACCTATTTTTCTGAAGTAGATTTCATTTATTATTACACTTCTTATCAGACAACTCAGGTCATCTTCATTACTAGTTATTTATTCAAAGTTGGAATTCAAAGATGCTGGGTGATTTTAGGGCCAATTCTAATCTGTTACTCATCTGTCCATCCATCATTTATGGAGCCCACAATAGTGAAGAACTCTGCTAGGTAATGGAGAGATAGAATCACACACAAAAAAAGCCTATGTCCCTGCTCTCTTGATGCTTACATTTCAGTTGGGGCAGAATTTAACCTGTAAAAATACGATAAAAAATCATAAATTGGATACCGTGCAAAAGAACCAAAAAAGTGGTATGAATGAGAGACATAAGCTTTAGGTATTAGGTTAGGAAAAACTCTTTGAAATGACATTTACTCAGCAATCTAAAGGATGAGAAGAACAGTGGGGAAGAGTGTTCCACGTGGAGAACACCATGTCCAAAAGCACAAAAGCATGAAAGAACATAGACCACTGCAGTGACCAAAAGGCCAAAGAGGCAGTAGCACCATGTGCAAAAAGAAATATATGAGGGAGGCTGAAGAGATAAGAAGAGATTATACAAAATCTCCTGGGTGATAGTATGGAGTTTAGATTTTGTGCTAAAGTAATTGTCTTAAAACAAGAGAAAGAACATGCGTTACATTTAAAGATTTCTTTTGCTGCTCTGTGAATTAAAGGGAGGCAAGACCAGCAGGGAGATCATTGATCAACAGGTCTTGCTGATGGACTTAAAGGTAGGGAGTGAAAAAAAGTAAGGAATTGGGGATGACGCCTACATTTCCAATCTGAAGAAGATGGTACATTTTCCGAGAGAGTAGAGACGGAAGAAATCAAGAATTTAAACATGCTGAGTTTTTAAGTACCTATAAGACATTAAGTGAAAATATCAAGAGGCAACTATATGTTAGAATCTACAACTCAGAGGTAACTTGAGGTCATTACATAATTGTGGTATTTAAATCTATAAGAATTAATAAGATCTCCTGAGAAGAAAATGGTAGAAAGCTAAATAGTTAATAAGGAAGTAAGGAAGCCATTTATGAAACAATGCATGTAACAAATTTGGCTATAAAAGAAAACAGGGAAATAAGTCAAAAACTAAGGAATGAATATGAGAGGGGCTTTTTTTTTTTTTTTAATGGAGGAAGAGAGACAACTGGGGTTATGACTTTTCTTTTTGTTGTTACCTTCAATGCAAGAGCCTTTTCAAAAGAATGTATGTGCTGACAGGAATAATCCAACAGAAATGAAGCAAATAATAATACATAAGAGAAGAAATGGCCAAAGAAGCGAAGTCTGAGTGGTTAGAGGGAACTGGGTACAGAGCACAAGGGCAGGAAGTGGGCCCTGACTAAAAAGGATAATTCCTTCACAGGTTAAAATTAAAATACATAAACTTAAAAAAAAAAACAGTTGCACAGTTTTTTTTTCAATAGT